TGGGGTACATGTGTCTACGTCCGCCTGTGTGTGGCCACGTCGGTCCACGTGCGTGTACATCAGTCTAGGTGAGTAGACCAATTTAGATTAATGTAGACGACATAGGTAGATCAACTGTGTCTACATATCGTAGACACAGGTAGACAAAGGGGTTCGTCTACCCTTTATGTACGGGGGTAGATGAACCCTCTGTACGGGGGGTGGGAACGCAGTGACATCCACATAGTACCGGCTCGATGGCGGACGGACCGTACCTGCAACCTATCATGGCGCAATTTTGGCATACATAATGCATGAGACGCCCGTTCGACTCGGGCTCGAGCCATACATCGTTCAGGTTTCTTTTTTTTGGCATCTCGCGTTTCATTTGCTCCCACCCCTCACCAGAATTCATTTTCACAAATGGTCTTCTCGACGGTACTACAGTATCATGATACTTAGAGTAACCTGGTTTAATCCACACGCCGGTAAGCCCATCCCGAATTCCCTTGATCTTACCCCAAAACTTGAACATCTATTCAGGCTCACAAGTGGGCGAGTATTGGCTCGATGGCGGACGGTCCGCACCTGCATCCATTGCATTGGTCTGCGGGTCGACATAGTTAATGCACGAGACGCCCGTTCGACTCGGGCTCGAGCCATTCGTTGTGTCCACGCATTTCATTTTCGCATCTCATTTCGCTCTCTGCACTGATTGTTTTTTGCGTTCGTTTAGCCTCTGGCGTTCAAACATTCACCTCTTACATCTTGCCTCAACTCGATCCCATTCGGTACCAGGCGGCCTGCTTCATCTTACTTCAATCTCGGGGCGAGGGTCTCCTATAAATGGTCTCGATCCCAACAAACTTGGGCAGATATGGGTTGAAAGACTTGTGGATATCGGCTCGGTAGCGGACGGTCAGCACCTGCATCTGTTGGTAAAACAGGTTATCATGTCCGTAGGAGCCGCCCGTTCGACTCGGGCTCGAGCCATCGTCACGCAGCGAATGTCTTTTCCTGCACTCTTCGTCTAGCCCCCGTCTCATCACGCCCTGTACATCTGAAAAATGACTTGCGGGCTGTTCCCCAGGCGGTGAATAATTCCTGGATCTCAGCCAAAAAAGATGGTCATATTTTTACCTGTAACACTGGACCAACATCGGCTGGATGGCGGACGGTCCGCACCTGCGTTCATTTGGTGACGTCGGGTAAACATAATACAGGAGACGCCTGTTTGACTCGGGCTCGAGCCATTCGTTGTGTCCACGCATTTAATTTTTTGCATCTCATTCCCTCTCTGCGCTGAATTTTGCGTTCGTTCCCCCTCTACAATTCAAACATTAAATCTCTCACATCTTGCCTCAGCTCGATCCCATCTGGTACCAGGAGTCCTGCGTCATCTTACTTGTATGTCTCGCCGAGTCTTATTACTTGCACATTACCTCAATCCCAACCGAAATTTGGACACAGTACCGGCTCGATGGCTGACGGACCGCACCTGCATCTGATAGATAGGCTTCAATAAAGTATGCATTCAGGAGACGCCCGTTCGACTCGGGCTCGAGCCATAGCGCCGATGCAGTCCCTTTTTTTGTCCTGATTCCTGTTCTACATACGCGTGATCTTGTCATCATACCACCCCCCAATTATGCGTCTAAAACCCGCTCAAATCATCCTGTGGAGGATGGAATCGCCACTTAAGTATGGCCGAAAAATATTATCAACATCTTATTATATATTCAGCTTCAATACGAGGTCAGTATTACTCCACCCCAACGATGCTGACGGCGGTGCGCAGTCTTTCGCTTCAAATTACTCATGTATCATGTATTCAGCTTTAAAATCACGCTAATATTGGCTCGATGGCGGACGGTCCGCACCTGCATCGATTAAGGCCGTATTCTGGGAATAATGCAGCATACCCCCGTTCGACTCGGGCTCGAGCCATGGAGTTCCTCGGAATTTTTTGTTTGACTCAGGCACGAGCGACCTTTGGTCTCTAGTCTTTCTTTTTTCAGATTTCATTTTGCTGTCTGAATTCTTCATCGCATCCCCATCTCATTCTCGACTCACTTCAAATTCCATCGCAGCGCCCCAAAAAATGCTCACATGTTCAACTGAAAAACTGGGGTGGCACTGGCTCTATGGCGGAGGGTCCGTATCTGCATCGATTAACCGATTTTGTAGATAGATGATTATGCAGAAGATGCCCGTTCGACTCGGGCTCGAGCCATTGGCTACAATTGTTTCACCTCTTTTTCTTCCTCAGTTGCCACTGCTGCTGACCGAGCCCTATTAGCATCCGGGATTCTGGGACAGAGATGATAAGTTCATGGTCGTGAATGCCAGTGCTTAAATCCACGAGAAAGTGAGCGGAATTTCGTACAAGCGAAACCAAAAGTTAGACACACACATTCAAGTTCCAATCCCAGTGAGTAATGGCTCGATGGCGGACGGTCCGCACCTGCATCGATTCAGGAATTTTGTAAATAGCGGACTATGCAGAAAGTTCCCGTTCGACTCGGGCTTGAGCCATGGAAGAGTCGGCAAAACTTGTTTTTTTTGGCCTTGGCATCTCCTTATCCTTCAACGCATTTCATTCCTTCCGTAGGATGAAGCTAGCTTGAATCCAACTGCACTGGCATGAAGGCAAGGTACATACTAACTTGCGCAGAGGACTCAAAATTGGGCGTATATTCGCACTGAACATGGGATAGGACTGGATCGATGGCGGACGGTCCGCAACTGCATCGATTCAGGAATTTTGTAAATAGCGGACTATGCAGGAGGTGCCCGTTCGACTCGGGCTCGCGCCATTCCGATTGTGTCCGAGCATTTCATTATTGCATCTCATTTCACTTTCTGTGATGAAGTTTGCGTTCGTTCCGCCTCTACAATTCAAACATTCGATCTCCCGCACCTTGCCTCAGCTCGATCCCATCCGGTACCAGGCGGCCTGCTCCATCTTACTTCCATCTCTCGTCGAGTCTTATTACTTGCAAATTACCTCGCTCCCAACCAAAAATTGGACACACATCCACATAGTACCGGCTCGATGGCGGACGGACCGTACCTGCAACCTATTATGGCGCAATTTTGGCATACATAATGCAGGAGACGCCCGTTCGACTCGGGATCGAGCCATAGGGTCCTTTTTTTGTCCTAATTGCTGTTCTACGCGTCATCATACCTCCCCAATTATGCGTCTGAAACCCGCTCAAATTGTCCTATTGAGCTGGTGAGGAGCGGAACTGAATTATGGTAGAAAGATGCGCATATACTCAGGTTCCGGCCAGAGCAAAGAACGGTTCGATGGCGGACGGTCCGCATCTGCATCTGTTTGGGGCCGGGAATTGTGCCCCCCGCAGTAAACGCCCGTTCGACTCGGGCTTGAGCCATAGATTGGCCACCTCGTCGATTTTCTTTTTCGTATCTCATTTTCGTTCTCACCGCGCTGAATTTTGCTTGTTTTCAACCTCTGGCGTTCAAACAACAACCCCTGTCTGCACCTGCACTATTTGCTTTTCCCGTCAGAGCCCGTGACCCGTCCATGGGCTTGTAGTGTCATTTTTGGAGGTTCTTACACCTGAATGCTGCGTCCACCACTCAATCCCGCGATGTGATGAACAATTTCGCTCGAGCCCGAACAGAAAACTGGGCACACAGTATAGAAAATACTGATCTGTGGGCTGTTCCACCAGGCGGTGAATAATTCCTGGATCTCGACCACAAAATTGGACATATACTCAACCTCAAAACCAGGCTAATATCGGCTCGACGGCGGACGGTCCGCACCTGATTCCCCTGGTCGCGTTGTCAGTTAATATTGCAGGAGACGCCCGTTCGACTCGGGCTCGAGCCATGTGCCGCTACCACCTCGTATCTTTTTCCTCCTCATAGTTGCCACTGCGGCTGACAGATCCCTACTGGCATCTTGGATTTTGGGAAAAAGATGTTAAGTTCATTTTCGTGAATGCCAGTGCATAAATCCACGAGAAAAGATGAACGGAATTTCGCACGAGCTAAACCAAAAGTTGGACACACACATTCAAGTTCCAATGCCAGTGAATATCGATGCGGACGGTCCGCATCGGTATTCTGTCACCACCGAAAGCAATACTGGGCTTGGCACCGGATACACCCGTTCGACTCGGGCTCGAGCCATTCCGATTGTGTCCGCGCACTTCATTTTTGCATCTCTTTTCGCTCTCTGGAATCACTGATCGTTTTTTGCGTTCGTTTAGCCTCTGGCGTTCAAACATTTCGCCTCTCACACCTTGCCTCAAATCGATCCCGTCCAATACCAAGCGGCCTGCTTCATCTTACTTCCATCTCTCGCCGAGTCTTACTTGAATCTCTCGCCGAGTCTTATTACTTGCAAATGACCTCGATCCCAACCGAAAATTGGACACACATCCACACTAGTACCGGCTCGTTGATACTTCAGGAGACGCCCGTTCGGCTCGGGTTCCAGCCATGGCGGATTCTGAAACGCTTTTTGCTCTCGCCTCTCACATTGGCTCAGCCTTCGAAATTTCGCCAATGGCATCGTGTTATGCCGGAAGCACGGTGAGTTTTATTCGTCAAATCCGCTCGATGCACAAAAAAAATTGAATACGTATTCAAGTTCAAAACTGGGTGAGTATCGGCTCAATAGCGGACAGTCCGCACCTACAACCTATTACAGATTTCAAGGAATAATACAGGAGTCGTCCGTTCGACTCGGTTGCGAGCCAATTCCGTATCGTCTTCAATCTTTCTCAATTTTTAATTTGTCCTTTTTCGTTCTCAGATCTCATTTTTTCCTCGGCATTCGGAATTCCTCGTCGATGAAAAACCTGGACATGTGTTCACGTTCCTGGAAAAGCATAGAACGGCCCGGACTCTAGTGTTGACAATGGGTTCTACGTAAGTTTCTACTTCCCATCCAGGATCACTCGCTTGCAGGAGAGATGCTGAGCCCGAGATCAAGCCGTGGACGGTCCAGTGGCCCAGACCAGTTTGAAAAGTGAGTATGTGTCGGCTCGATGGCGGATGATCCGCGCCTGCATCATATATACGTCTGGAATGCGAAGTGTGCAGGAGATGTCCGTTCGATTCGGGCTCGAGCCATGAGTAAATGTTCGAGCGGTCTTTTTGCCGTCCTCGCATCTCATTATCCCAGTGTTTCTAGTGCAGTTTCTACTCCCCCGGCCTGGATTACTCGCTTTCCGGGAAGATGCTGAGCTACCGAAAAGCGCCGTGGAGGGTACTTAAATTCGACTTGAACTGCAGATACACGTGTTGGAAGTGCTAGAGGACGATGAGGAAGGCCAGTTTCAAAGTGGGTCGGTATCAGCTCGATGGCGGATGGTCCGCACCTGCATCATATATCGGGATTCCAATAAGTATGCAGGAGATGCCCGTTCGATTCGGGCTCGAGCCATCGATGGGTCGAATGTATTTTTTGCCGTCCCCGTATCCCACCCAGATCAATCGCCTGCTGGAAAAATGCTGTGCCTCGAAATCAAGCGCAGATACTTCTTGAATTCTACTTAAACTGAAGTGCTGGAAGGGTTAGAAGAAGGCCAGCTTCAAATGTAAGTGCGTATCGGTTCGATGGCGCATGGTCCGCACCTGCATCTACTACTAGGTCTAAGCGCAATACTTATAGTGCAGGAAGCGCCCGTTCGACTCGGGCTCGAACCATGGATAAGTCGGCGAACCTTTTTTTTTGGAGGAGGGCCTTGGCATCTCATCCTCCAACATATTGCATTCTACCCGCCTCTATGGGAGGTCAGCTTAAATTTTAACTGCCTTGCTACTAATTCAAGTGACATACCACACCTGCTTCACAGGGACTCAAAATTCGCCATATATTCAGCTGTTGAATATGGCATTGGAATGGCTCGATGGCGGACGGTCTGCGCCTGCAGCCTATGATTTGAGATCATTGCCGTTATAAAGCCGGGACGCCCGTTCGACTCGGGCTCGAGCCATTGTTGAGGAACAACGAGTTTTGCTTCTCACACCTTGTTTTCTCCCCATCTCTCACCAGATGTCATCTTCCCACATGTCGCACTCCAAATCGAAGTAATTGTTGGCTCCTCATGGCGGTGAGTTTGGGAGATCCATCAACAGGGCTGCAGAATCACCCATGTATTCAAGTTCAAATCACAGCTAATAACGGTTCGATGGCAGACGGCCCGCGCCTGTATCTAATGAAACCATCTGCGAGAATTAATACAGGAGTCGCCCGTTCGACTCAGGCTCGAGCTGTGGAAGTGCGACTTGTCCCACTTGTTCTGGGTTCAAGTGCACGTGAGGGCCAAACAAATCATCACATCGCGTCTCGCTTTCGTATTACTACCACAACTCGCGCATCATCGCCCTCGCAGTCGTTCAACACGGCACAATTCCTTTTCGTTCGAAAATTTCCAATACAGCAGCAACAGCGCAAATTCCTGTAATGCAGAAGGCCTCGTCAAGGGCGCGTAGCGCGACTCGGAACAAGCCGGGGATTGATACGAGTTGGCTTGGGCCACCAACTCGGCGCTGTGGGGGCGGCGTACATCTCCCTATAACGTCTTTGCTTGTCTCCCGGTCGTGTGCGCGTCTGAGGCGGTGGTTTAGCAAGAGGGTTTACCATGGACACTATATTTATACACTCGCATTTTGTTCCGTTTGTACCCGGGCTCAGGTGTCCCACGAGTACGGGAGCAGCCGGAATCTGTCCCATCATAGAAGTCCCGGAGTATGGGAAAATCAATTTTCTTTCTTTGCTTCACACACCCACGAGCCCGAGCGAACGAGCGAGCGAGCGCCTGTAGAAACACCAACCGAGCCGAAACCTGATACCACCGAGCCACCAACTACGAGCCTTACGCCTTCCACGCCAGCAGAAGATTTTACCCGTCAAGAGAAGCATCACCCCGTACACCCGTAAAGCGGCATCCGGCACAACCTAGGCCGACCTGAGTTCCGCGAGAGGAACAACTCAATCTTCCACAGAGCCATTTGACGTTCGGCTCCCATCTTTTCTTATCTGTTTTTTTTGCTCATTCAACCAGCTGCCTTGAAAACTGGGCATCCACAAAAGGCTTCCCGGTCGCGTAATATAGCAGCCGTTAGGTTCACACTAGCTCCCGTGCCGTCCACATACTCGCCAATACCAAATAAAATTTCACGTTTGTTCAAGTTCGAACTACAGCCAAGAACGGCTCGATGGCGGACGGTCCGGACCTGCATCGTCTAGCCGCGACGCACTAGCGTTCTGTAGAAGACGCCCGTTCGACTCGGGCTCGAGCCATGGATTACTGGTCATAAAGTTTTTAGTTCTCGTATCTCTGACTCATCTTCTCTCTTTTGAAATTCCCCCGAATCTTTCCCAAAAAATAGGGAAGAGATTCAAGTTCGAAACCAGGTTACTAGTGGTGGACGGTCACGGACCGCACCTGCATGCAATTGGTTGAAGACTTTTTGGTGAAGACTTTTTGGTGATGTAAAAGGCCAACTCTCCCTCTTTTTCTGGTTGGTTCCACTTCTGGCAGCCTGGGTCATTCCCACGGCTTGGAATTTTGGGCCCACAATCCGACTGATGGCACCATAGTTTCGATTCGAAATATCACTTCAAGTGGTTTGTTAATCTAGCCAACTAAACTCCCGCGATCCAAATCAACCAACTTGGGCAGATATTCAAGCTCCAACCTCAATAAATAATGGCTCGATGGCGGACGGTCCGCACCTGCATCGAATACACCATGAATGAATGAGTAACTGTGCAGCAGACGCCCGTTCGACTCGGGCTCGAGCCATCATATGCATCTTTTTTTCCCCTTCTCACATCTCATACGTGGGGCGTCCTAAATTCTTCGTAGCCCCGTTTCATCAGGCCCAGTACATCTAAAAATGATTCACGGATTACTCGCTTACCCGAGAGATGCTGTGCCCCGAAATCACCGAAATCAGGCACAGACGGTTCTTGAATTCTCCTTGAACTGTATATGGTGTTGGAGGAAATTTGAGAATGGGGATTTGATAGGAATAGTCTCTTATAAACAGACGCACCTCGCATGTTTGTAGTCTGTCGATTACCCGAGACATGTGTTTGAAGATGGACCTCATTACATAATCATCGGAGTTTGAAAAAATTGCGCGTCTTTGTCACCACACGTCACAAACGACTTCCTTTCTCCCCTTCGACGGTCAATTTCTGCTCAAAATATGCGTTCGTCCACGGTTCACAGGAACGACATCAAGGGGGAAAATTCTAGCCAGGAGGCTCCAGCTCAGGCTGTCATCCGCAAGTACAATCGCATCCCTGTGCTCACCATCCCCACCATCCCTCCATTGGCGTCCCATTCCGAGTTCACGGTATCAATTTCAACTCCAATTGTCCCATCAGGGGCCTCTACGCAGGAGCAGCTACGAGCCACAAAACGCAGCAACTGGGAGACGATGGATGACGTCTTAGACCTACCAATCTCGGCGACTTCCTCAGTGCTCTATTCTATCATCACCCACGGAGAGAGCCAGATCTCCGATCATCGCGCCATCAGGCTGCAGTGACTCGTACTTGCGACAAAGAGTGATGATCCCGAGAGCTGTACCCACATCCGCGCTACAACGAATGGAAGGAAGCCCGGTGTAAAGATTGCGTGCGTGTGTGCTACATATGTGATGACGCGCTTGACCGGGTGGCTTGTTGGCGGGTTGGCGGGTGGCCCGGTGTGCGTGGGTGTGGCCCTTGGCCGTGGCGGGACGGCTCGTTCGGCTTGGAAGATCGCGGGTTTTTTGAGGCGGAACGAGGGAGAGAGGAGAGCTCGGGGGTTTCTGGTTCCCGCAGCCCATTTTCCAGCTCGGCCATTTTGGGGTGAGCCCATTTCTCGTTCGGTGATTTCTTAGTTTCGCGCCTTTTTAGCCGACAGCCTGCCCGCCCTCGCTCGTTTACGTTTGGCACTCGTTTCTGTGTTGTCGTGTCGGAGCCCGCGTGCTTTGGCATTGGCATTGGGGCCTGCCTCACCACCCGCGGATTTTCGCTTTTTTTTTGTTTCCCTCTGGCGCTGGCGCCCCTCTCTTTTAAGACTCGCTTTAGCCCCCTCCCCTCTCTCTTATTCGCTCTCCTCTCCTCCTTTTTACACTTACTGACGTTCCCTCGGCAGCTGGTCCTACCTCATGAACATGACCCTCCTCGGCAACGCCGTATTCATGAGCATGGACATTCCGGATATGTTTTTGTCGGTGCGTTTCTTTTATTCTCTTATTCTCTCTGTTTTTTTTTTTTGTGATTGGGCGGAGATTGGAGGTTTTCTTTCTTTCTTCCTTTTGTTTTCGAGAGTGGTTTCAATCCTTGCTTTTTGGCGAGCGCGGCGCGGACTTGTGTCCTCGCGAGCTGTGTGCTGAGCTTAGACTTTTCATTCGGGTGCTCGTTGGCGGTTTGGGTTTGATGGCCCGGGCGTTGGGATCCTTGGCGGTGCGGGCGCCTTGATCGGCAGCGCGGTCCGGGTCATTCACGCGTTGCCGTGCCTTCGTGGGCGTAGGACCTGCGCGCTAGGCGTTGTTCCGTTGCCTTGGTCGACGGCGCGGTTCGGGTCCTTGGGCGTGGCGCGTTCCTGTGCCTTGCGTGCTCACCCTGCTTGGCTTTCCTCCCTCTCCCTCCCCCTCCCCCTCCTTTCTTCCTGCCTTGCCCTCAACCCTTTGTGAATTTCGACGCTGTCACCGACGCTGCCCCTCTTTGCCGTTGCCTTTGAAAATCAAATCACCTACTGACGCTAACGTTGTAAGTATTTGCAGTTCTCCAGATCCTCAACTACCTCGAGCTCGAGCGCGCAAAGTCGTGTCGCTGGGCGTGTTTTTCGTCGTGTGGACGTGCGTTCTTCTCCTCATTTCTTTCGTCTTCCTTTCTTTCTGTGAGCGGCTGCGCTATTGGGCGTCCGAACCATTGGCGTGTGGAGCGCCCGAGGTCGCCAAAGACCGGCGGCTGTGTCGTAGTCGGAATGATATGGCAATGTTGATATTTGAATAACGATGCTGACCAAAATACGCGCAGGTACTTCCGGCACTACATCTCGCTGCGCATCCTGTAGTTGCTGCAGTATGAGGTTCATTTGGTGCCGTGCGTGGTTTCTTTTTCTTTGTTCTCTTCTCGATTCTTTTTTTGGCGGCCTTCGCTTGTTCTTTTTTATTTGTGGTTGGGGCGTTTGGTGTTCGTTCATGGCCCCACCGGCGGGCTCGCATTTTGCCGAGGTTGTGCATTTTGATGATGATTGTGCACAATGGGTTGTGTTCTTTGGTTGATTATTGGTTATTTGGAGGAGGCGTGTTCGTTGGTTGTCGGGACCTCCATGCGCGCGAGCGAGGGGGAAATTCTCGAGTTCCGGGTGAACGGAATCTCGAGTTGCGGTTGGATGGGGTAGATGAGGAACGCTGGATGGGGGATAGACGCGTTCCTCCTTGGCGGCGAACACTGGTTACTGGACATTGACGCGCCAAGACGGCGTCGTCGTCGTCGACGTCCTCGTCTTCGGGGGTGGCCTGCCAGCGATGCGAACGAATGAACACATGCTAACTCCCCTTTCCTTTCGCACAGATCGATCATGACCTCTGACGCGGTCGGACGACTCGGACTCGGACGAGGTGCCGCCGGGTGTCTCTCTGGAGGGCCTGCTGCTCGACGGGGAACCATCGGAGAGGGGATTGGGGGCGAGTGTAGGGCGGGTGAGTAGACTTTTCTTTGTATGCTTTTTCCGCCTTTCCTCGTCGGTGTCGTGATGCTCTTGCATTTTCCGGATCCTGTCTTCCGTCCATTAATTACGCACCTCGTCTTAACGCAGACGTCAAACGCCAACGCTGACGCATTTTGTCTCACTTTGTAGGACAAAAGACAACGTGCACCGGCGCACGCACGGGCGCGGTCGGGGGGCTTACGACTAGTCCTGGCCCGGCTGCGAACGGGAAGACGCTAGTGGACGTGGAGGCGGCGGGCCTGTTCGAGAAACTCTGTGAGAAGGAGGAGTAGGCGGGTTGGGTCAACCCGCCTCCGGCGTTTAGAAGGGAGGAGGAGCGGGGAGAAGAAGAAAAGCTGTAGACGAAAATCCACCCGCGCACCGCAGCACACGACGACGGCATGGAAATCGACCTCGGAGTCGAAATCGAATCGGACCTCCCAAGAGTGGACTTGGATATTGTGTTCTTGTTTCTCTCTCCCTCTTTCTTTCCTCCCTTCATCACGTTCTCGTTGCTTCCTTCCTCTACTACCGTACTTCCTTACTTTACTCATTCCCCCGTACTTCACTCCATCCTCCTGGCTTAGGTTGTTGACGCGCCTTCCCTCCCTTCCTTGTCCTATCCTTCTTCTTATATGTGTATGCCTCCCCTTCCTTTCCTTTGACCTTCCTTCCCTTTTGTTTCTTTCGTTCGTTCCTTCCCGCGCAGCAGCTACGTTCCGTTCCTTCCTTCCCCGCGCCCGATAACGATACCGATACCTGCACCACTCGCGCAGTGAGTATGCCCTACTACTATATTATTTCGATCCTACGGCTTATTGAGTATAGAGTATAGGCATATAGACACGGACCTGTTGCTCCTTGGTGCCTGCTGCTACTCTTTGGTATCTGGGCCGCGCGTACTCGCTGAACCTGTCATCTGGCTGGTCTGGCTGGACCGCGCCGCGCCTACGTAGCAGCAGCACGTAGATACCGGCGGCACATACTTGGCTGAACGTACCACAGAGAGGGTGGGTAACTTGCTGAATCGGATAAATTGGCGCGCTCATTTTTTTTTGTTTTTGTTGTACAGGGTGCTTTCATGCTTCGTCGGGACCAAGATCGCCTGCGTCCCAATCGAGGCCGGATCGAAACTGCCAATCGAGGCTAGATTGCAATTGGCAATTACCATTTGATGCAACTGCTTGGTTTGGCCGCGGCGCTGGGACGTAACAGTACGCGACTGGCCACATGAACGATTGGTGCGCACCTGCCTGGCGCAGGGATCGCCGGTCGCCCGATTAGGAGGTTGGGCCCTAGGATCCGGTAGGTGGGATTAGGTGGGATTTGGATGGCAATGATAGATGGATTTGGATGGCAGGATAGATGAAGCGGGGTCCCGTGGTGGATGAAGTGGGGCAGCGAGACCCCGAGGTCTGCCTCTTGGGGGATCGTCGGAATTTGCGAGGAGGGTAAGTACTGAGCGGAGGTAAGCGGCGGGGGTAATTGATTGATTGGCTTGGCAGGGACGGATTGAATATTGGATCGATGGCAAGCTGGGTGATATTGTGTTGCTGTTGTTTAGAGCATGTGTAGAAGAAGGATGTGGAATAATAAACTCAACGTTGTTGTATTTGGAATTTTTAAATTAATTTGAGCATCAGCTGGCGAATCGTACTTGTAATGTTGGTTTTTCTGCCTTTTGAACCGTAAGTCGCTGGGGCAGTGCATTGAAGGCTTCGATTAGTCATGTCGGCGGGCCGCAATATAAGTTGTTCGCCTATAAGTTTGCACCTAAGTTATACATTCTACACGGTGCACGACGGTTGGACTTCGCCAGAATTCTTACCACGCAAAACTATTTACTTGCTGGCGAAATCCTGAGCCCTGACGCAAGAGGTGGACGGGAGAATTTTTTTTTGATATCAACCTCTGAAGTATACCTGGCTATCTGGGCACCCCATTTCTGGGACTAATTTTTTTTATGACCATGGATTGTTGTGGGGTGGCGGTTTTGCTTTCTATTACCCCCAATCTTCAGATCAGCCTATTCGAAAAATGCAAACGAAAGTTCCAACGCATAGAAAATACGGACCATCGGACCGGTGGCGGAAGAGAAGTTGATATCTCGGGATTTGCCGGCGCCCACCTCTTGGGATGGTCCGCGCCTGCATCATATACGGATGGACGAATCTAAGTATGGAGCAGATGCCCGTTCGATTCGGGCTCGAACCATGGTAGATGTTCCAGGATTTTTTGCCGTCTCCGCATCTTACGTATTCTTAGTGTTCACAATGGGTCCTACTCTAGCTTTTACTCCCGCAGCCCGGATTACTCGGGGAAATGCTGAGCCACCGAGAAACGCCGTGAAGGGCTCTTAAATTCAATTTGAACTGCAGACGGACGTGTGAGAAGTGCCAAAAGAAGATGAGGAAGGCCAGCTTAAAAAGTGAGTGTGCATCGGCTCGAGGGCGGATGGTCCACACCTGCATCATATATACGTCTGGAATTCGAAGTGTGCAGGAGGTTTCCGTTCGATTCGGGCTCGAGCCATGGCCAACTCTTCTCCGTTTTTGTTTTTTTCCGTCCTCATTGGAGCATTTTGTTCCTCCAGTCTTCAGCATCAGCATGGGTTCACTCTAGTTTCTACTCCCTGCTCGGTTGGCGTAGATATCCGGAGCCTCGAATGACACCGTAGACGGTTCTGAAGTTCAACTTCAACTGCAGATAGAAGTTTTGGAAGAAGATACATAAGGAAGTACTAGAAGACGCTGGCCAAGGCCAGTTTCAAAAGTGGATGGGTATCGGCTCGATGGCGGATAGTCCGCACTTGCATCACATGAGAGGTTCCAGAATCAAGAGTGTGCCAGAGATGCCCGTTCGACTCGGGCTCGAGCCATGGCCAACCTTGCGCGAACGATTTTTTTTTTTTTTTTTTGTTTGTTGTTTTGCCGTCGTCGCATCCCATTGTCCCAGTGTTTCTAGTGCAGTTTCCACTCCCCCACGGATCACTCACTTGCTGGAAAGCTGCTAAGCCACCGAAAAACCCCGTGGAGGATTCTTAAATTCGACTTGAACTGCAGATGGACGTGTTGGAAGAAGATTCAGATGCATACGAAGATAACCAACGCCAGCTTCAAAGGTGGCTGAGTATCGGCTCGATGGCGGATGGTCCGCACTTTTATCATGTATATAAATAAACCCCTCACGTATTCATTAAAAATCTGAATGCTCTTGATTTGGTCACTCTAGGAGATCTCATGTTTACCGACTTTAAGCACCAGTATCTCTCAGCGTCCACGATCTCCTCTGATGGCAAGAAGACGAAGGGAAAGGAGGAGGTTCTGAGCGCCTTGAAATACACCCTTACGGTGACTTCCTTAGTCGTGCTCCAGTGTTTCGTCTGTGCTATGTATGGTGATCGCTCCATCGACGAATGGGAGGAAGAGTGGTTTCCTTAATCACTTTCGTCTGTGCGATGTATGGCGGCGAGTGGGAGGAAGAGCGGCTTCCTTAGAAAACTATCCCACTTCGCCTGTGCTATGTATGACAATCGCTCTGGCGAATGGGAGGAAGGGTGGCCCACTTCAGCGCTTCTCTGTATTATGTATCAGCGACCAGATCGGCTACCTCCACGATACCCTCAAATTGTCACTGTCCCGGATGGTCGAGGGCGGGTGCTATTTCGAAGAACCGTGTACGGTGTCTAATTGACGACGTCGGTGATTTCCGACCCAAAGCCTTACGTATCACTCTCTGGTTCCCAAAATACGCAGGAAAGATTCAAAGGTCTGGTGTACAATTCGGATAACACTCGACCCACGAGCCTGGGTGGAATTCAGATAAGAATTTCCCGATTTAGGGTCCGGATAAAAAGTCTCAACAGCGACCAACTTTTAGACACGCATTTGGGTTGACTTTCGGAAGTCCTCCAGGTGGCGGTTGCATGAAAAATCGCAATTGACACACCTTTGTTTGTCGTAATACATGGAGTCGATGTTCCCCAGCTGGTTCTTGTCTATGGTTATTTTTTCAGGCAAGTCCTGGACTTCAAGTTCTGGTACATGTAGGAGTTAGATAGGATGCATATGGGCCTCCGTGTGGAATCTGGAGGGGACACAGTGAACCATGCCTGTAGGAATCAAATTCTGATGTTTACCTACTCGGGCAACAAGACTCAACAAAACATTCAGTGTCGTTGGACTAAAATGTGCGGTTCGGGTCAAAGCTTTATATGTACCCTATGTAAAAGACTGATTACAGTCGATCTTCAGATTCTTCGCAACCCGCTGGAATGGCGATATTCGTATATTCTGCTTAAGTGTCCGAGTTCCCCGGGGGGGATGGTATGTATCAGCGATCCGGTCGGCTGCCTCCACGGTACCCTCAAATTGTTGCGGTCCCGTCGAGCGCGGGTGCTATGTCGAAGATCCGTGTACGGTGTTGAATTGAGGACGTCGGTGATTTCCGACCATCTGGCCGGCCAATGGCGTAATTACCATAATAAATTGACCTTCAAATGCGAAGACTTGTCATGTCCCATGATACAGGCATCGACAGTTTGAATTCACCCTGCACTATCAGCGCTCCTTGTAATAATAATAACAATAATGCATATAAACACTCACGCACAGGTGAGCATTTCTCGACGCACCTCTCTTGCCCTCGGCTAACTGAAGCCATGAATACTAGTTCTAAGCGTGACGAATATGCCCAACACATCCTCCGAAGCTACCACAACCTGCTTCTTGTCAAATATCCCCGGGGCCTGCCCGAACCTGTTCTTCGTATTCCTGAGCCACATGGATCGCCTCCACGCATAGTCACTGTCGCAGTACGTGTGTATAGTTATCCACTTTTCATCTTATTTTCTTACGTGTTTCCACCACCAGATCATCGGCGCTGGGGTGGCTGGGCTTTTTGCAGGCTTGACACTCCACCTTCTCAAGAGACCGCTCTTGGAAGCCAACGTCATTATCGACTACACTATCCTCGAGTCTCAACCCGCGGACGGCGATCACCCCGTTGGCGGCAGACTCCGGACGCACGCGTTTGATGGCCAGGTTGATGATTATTATGCGAGATTCCCATCCTTCAATTCGATAGCATGTGCTGACTGGTAATGTTAACAGGACCGCGGCGCGATGCGATACCCAGAGGTGGACTTCATGCAGCCGGTATTCGATCTTTTTAAAAAGGTGATTGAACAAATAAAACACCTACACGAGTTTTCGCTGATATCTTTGCCAGCTGGGAATCAATGATCTTCGCATCCCGTACTATATGGAAGACGATGCCGGCAATAACGTCAATTTTTTTAACGGTATTCGGAAGACCAACAAGGACCTCGCTTCTGAGTACAAGCTCGGCCATTATGATCCGTTCCAAACGAACATCCTTGGGCTGTACGCATCTCCCAAAACCATGATGGACGACCAGATAAAGGGATACAAGCTGGCCCTCATAGCCAATTCATCTGAGGGTTGGAACAATCTGATGAAAGTCGACGGGTGGTCGACCCGCGGCTATCTGACGTACGAGGGCACCGGGGGGAAGACATGGTCACCCGATGTACGTGACTTTCCGTTTATTTATCTCTCGTTCGCTCACGACGTGCAGGTTATTGACTACATGGAGACGATTGAGAGCGGCACGAGCATGTGGAATGCAGCGTTCTCCGAGACCGTCATGGACTCGCTCGACTTTGATTACCCGACTGACGACCCGAATGAACGCGTCAAATGGTGGTGTATCCAGTGAGCGATTTGTTTCTCCTCTCATGCTGAACTAAATGCCCTCGAAGCGGTGGATCGAACATCATTGCAAACAAGATGGCCGAGCAGATTCCAAGCGGAATTATTCAGAACGGCAAACACGTAACCCGCATCCGAGCCGCTGGTACAGATGGATTCGAGGTAACCTGCGATGACAGTCCCCCAACCACCTACAATCACGTCATCACCACAATTCCTTTCGGCTGCCTCCGAGCCGTCGACACCAGCAACTGTGATTTTGGCTACATGCTGAACACGGCTATTCGCATGCTGCAGTACGACGCATCTACCAAGGTTGCAATCAAGTTCACTACGCGCTGGTGGGAGGGTGCGCATATAAATGGTTACAAATGTACTGTCGGCGACCAGATGGGCGGGGTGTCGAGTACAGACAGGCCGACGCGGATGGGTACGTTTTATAGATTTGGCATATTTTTCTTCCAAGTCTGATTTCTTCTAGTGGTTTACCCAAGCTACGGAATGGGCGGGACCACGGGAGCGACCATGATCGTCAGCTATACATGGTCGCAAGACGCGCTGCGCTTTTCGTCACTCTGCCGAGGCAACAAATCCCCGGAAGAAGAATCTCTCAAAGCCCTCATTCTTAGGGATCTCACGGACATTCATGGCATTGTGGACAAAAATGGAAATACCGATTACGATTATCTGGCGAGCCTGGTGGATAATGACACGTACGACGCGTGGTCGTGGTACAACGCCGCGAACGCTTCTGGTGCGCATAATTACAACGTCGGTGTGCGCCCCGTAATCATATTGTTGTTCCTAGGTGCCTACGCTCTATTCGGCCCAGGACAATTTAGTGGACTTTATACCCAGGTCACGAAGCCGGTCAGAGGAATGTTTCACTTTGCGGGGGAAGCAACCAGCACACATCACGGGTACGTACCTTTGTCTTTTATCTTGCTCCAACTCACTCAAGTTCCGTCTAGTTGGGTCTTGGGAGCTATCAACTCTGCTGCGCGGGTGTTGCAGGAAATTGTATGTTCCATTTCCTACTCAAAGTACATTGCTCACCGCTGCTCTTCCAGGGTGTCCACGAAGGCATCGATGCGCTCAGTGGCGGTGTCCACAACTTGTGGCCAAACATTAAAGAGTTTGAGAAGGACCTGCTCATTCGTCAGGTTGCTTTGGGCCAGGCGGAGGAGCAGATGTAGTTAGGTGTCGAGTGTTTGGCTTGAACTTGGACCTCCGACTTAACTGGCAAAAAAAAAAACTGTATTATTACATTCAATTCGACAGACATCCCAGGGAGGAGCGTTACGTGGCAATCAAGACTCTCACGGAGGAGATTGAAAACAAAGCTGCTATACTTTGATTTTCGTGAAAACGGCGAGGGAGATATTGAATGCGCATAGACAGATGTGTTGGTTGAGCGAATTGCAGCTGAAGGAGAACGGGGGCCCGAAAAGTGAAATCTGGGATGTGTAACGCGATGACGAGGAACGTGAATGCGCGTGTATTTGGTGTCTACTACTTCTCTTGGCTAGATGGGCTTCGTTTCTCACCGCGCGCAACCCGCGTCCTGTGGCCCTGTCCGTTGACTTCCGCCGCATTCACTACCGGAAAAACTGCTCGCTTTGGCGTCGTCGGCTACGGGAAAACTGCTGTTTTCTTCTATATCCGGGGGCTGCTAGCAGGACGAACCTGGAGAAGTGCAGGATTCATGCACGATTCTCTCTCAGGTGAGCCGCGCATATTCGCGGGGTAACAGAGATTTGCATATATATTCCTCATCTTGACTGGCTCGCTCATTACCCTTTCCAGCCGTCGTGCGATAATGCAGTCTTAAGATCTGACTTTTGTACAGATCGTTTTGAAATAATACAACTCCGTGCTCCCCTGGGGATAAATCCACGGATATGAATACAACAAAAAATAAAACTTGCGCTTTGCTTGCGCTTTGCTTCGCTTTCAAACCCACGATTTCGCATACTCTGGCCGCTTTCCAGTTTCAAGGGCATCATCGTCTTCCTGAGCATTCAACATACTCTCGATTTTGATTTCTTCGGTCCGCTTTGTGCCCGTTGGGGGGGTCCAGGTGCTTGACGATCTGCGGGAGCTTTGGTTGTCTACGTGGGTGTGGCTGCGTATGGAGATGGAGGTG